GGATACAACTTTCCATAAGGTCTTACCGTATCATTGGCCCGATAATACCATTGTGCAGTAAAACTATTTGAGCCATCCACTACCTCAAACATTTCTATGATCTTACAGATGAAATTGTCTTTCCCTTCGTCAGCCTAAACCATTGTTGCAATTGTTAGATGCATGCAATATGTTTTATTATGCATGTATTTGTCAAAAGTAACATAATATATTATACGACCTGTTCGTGTACTTATATTTACTGTGATGCACTCTTACGGGAATGTAGGGTTATTTATGTAATTCACCATGTTAGCTGAGCTGTCATTTTGGTTAAATGTATATATATGTACACAATTGTATCATGAACATCAGTTAGTAAGAAAAACTCTTTCCCCATTCGCGCCCTCTCTCATTTTACTCTCTAATCGCTGTATAAAATTCACATGGTATCAGAGCAAGATGGGACTGAAGATAGAAAGAAAGCCAGATTAGTTGCCCGGGGATTTACTCAACAGGCTGGACTTGATTATCAAGAAACTTTTTCTCCTGTGGCTAAGTTAGCTTCTGTCAAGGCTTTGTTGGCAGTTGCAGCCAGCAAAAGTTGGCATCTGCACCAGCTGGACATAAACAATGCGTTCCTTCATGGAGACCTCGAGGAAGAAGTATATATGAAGATGCCTCCGGGGTATGAGCAGCAGGGGGAGAATGGTGTCACATTGGTATGCAAACTTAACAAATCTATCTATGGACTCAAACAAGCCTCAAGGCAATGGAATACCAAGCTGTCATCCTTCATCACATCTCAAGGATTTGTTCAATCTAAGTCTGATTACTCACTTTTCAGCAAGAGAACTAACTACTCTTATATTGTGCTGCTCATTTACGTTGACGACATCATAATAGGAGGAAATGATCTGACATACATTGAGCACTTTAAAAGGAATCTGGACAATCAATTCAAGCTGAAGGATTTAGGAGTCTTAAAGTATTTTTTGGGGCTTGAAGTTGCAAGATCATCCAAAGGCATTGCTGTCTGTCAACGTAAGTATGCCTTGGAAATCCTTGAAGATGCAGGTTATTTAGGATCAAAGCCTGCAAAATGTCCTATGTTGCAGGGTCTAAAATTGACTAAAGATCAAGGGGAGTTGCTAGATGATCCAGGAATGTACAGGAGGCTAATTGGAAGGCTGTTATACTTAACCATTACAAGACCAGATTTGTCATTCTCAGTACAGGTTCTAAGTCAATATCTTGAATCCCCTAGAAAGCCTCAAAGATGGGTGTTTTGAATATTCATCAGCCATCTTGAGGGGGAGTCTTACGGGAATGTAGGGTTATTTATGTAATTCACCATGTTAGCTGAGCTGTCATTTTGGTTAAATGTATATATATGTACACAATTGTATCATGAACATCAGTTAGTAAGAAAAACTCTTTCCCCATTCGCGCCCTCTCTCATTTTACTCTCTAATCGCTGTATAAAATTCACATGCACTATCATAGTCTTTGTTCAAGATAGGTTAACATGCAATGAAAAAAAGAACAAATGCAATCAACCAAAACCAGAATGTAGAAGCCAAAGTAATGTATTGCGTGGGAACTGAAATGTATTTGGCAATACTTCTGAACTGCAGTTTGCCAAAGGAAAGCATCTTAGTTTTCTTTTTTTAATGTGAATAGCTTAAAAAACAAATTACCAAGATCAATGTCAACTGAAAGCAAAGAATTGATATTCAATTGTTGAAATCAACTAGAAAAAGTATACAAGGTTTGAAATTCATAATAAAATACAATTAATTTGGTAAATATTCTCTCTCTTATTAGAAAGCAGATCACCTCATTCAAAAAATCAAGTAGTTTTATCATCTAAATTATTGCACCATTGTCGTGCTTTGAGTCTTTGAACATGGATTTGGAAATTGTTCCTCAAACGTCGCTGCTAGGTATCGTAAAGGGATTCCCAAACAATTCCTTAAAGAAGACTTCCACTACACTTTTCTTGATTGTGTAGCGAACAAATTATGGCAAAGTGCAGCTGGAATTTGTAGTTATATATTTGTTTTATTTGCAACAAAAACATGATTTGACAGTTGCAAGAAAAAGTATGTCAAATGGTGCACAAGTATTCATGAACTAGAAAGAAAAGCTTGACTGAACAAAAATGTGCCCACACATGCACATGAGAAAATCTAAATTAAACACAGAAGTAATCCATGGAAGACCAAGATAAGGATTCACCTTCACATAAGCCTAGTTGCCAATCAACTTCTGCTTGGGTGAAGTGGCGTCTAGCTCCAATGACTTCCTGCATCGTCCAGAACAATAAATAGTAATTTATAAGTTGACATATTTCTAAGAGTACAGAAAGGCAATCAAGCATGGAGTATACCTGTTTCACCAAATTGTGAACACATACATATATAATAAGATGGAGGGAATGTGTGACAATGTTTTCGATAAAAGTTTTTTGTACATATTGACTTGTCTAGAGCAAATATGCCGTTGATTCTGTGGCACTTGTTGAATCATATAGAATTTAATAGATTTTCATAAAAGATGTTAAAAATTGTGGATATCATGAATGTATAGTTAAAATTGAAGTTTGACAAATTGAAAAGTTAATAAAACACAGTGTTTTGTCAAACACGGTGATAAACGCACTTACAAATATTTAGGAAGTGGATGCACTAAGTTAAAATTCAGTTCTACTCTAGATAGAAAAATCGTCAAATCTCAAAATAGAAGTCAAATAGGTTTAGGTCCACGTAAATCCGTCAATTGAAAATTGAACTGGAATAGTGGGCTAGATATGGTTGAATTTAGATTTCAATAACCAAACAATTTAAGTACTTGAAAAACATCAGATAAGAATCTTCATAAACTGGGCTATTTTTAGAGTCTGTCTCTGTTAATCGAAAGTGAAATTCATCCTGTGTTTTTTCCTTTCCATTCACTCGGACCAAACAATTTAAGTACTTGAAAAATTAAACTAGATTCTAGAAGAATAAAGTTATCATGAGCTGAGTCCTCATCATATAGAAAAAGTATTTGTGAAGTTTTTAAGACGTTCAAAGATAGAACAATGAAAATTAGTGTTTTCCTTGTAAGGTCCAACACTTCCATTCAAGAAATATGTAAAACTCATAGAATTGAATGATTTAGCTTAAGAGCCAATTAGTTTAATGGAATCAGTGGCAATTAGCATTTCTTGACTTTTGCAATTATATAGTGTGTTTAAGTCACATTATTTTGAAAGAATGTAGTTTGAAATAGTAGATTGATAGAAAATGTGTAATTAAAAAATGAGGAAAAATTTTGGATTTGCATGTAATATTATTTTATTAAAGAATGTGTAGTTAAAATGATGTCAAATCACTGTTTAAGAATGTTTTTTTTTTTTTTTTGAAAGAATGCAGCTCAAGCAAGGCCATAGTTTAAGAAGATAACAATTATGGTCGGAACTTTTGGACTTTATAATTACGCTCGCTTGAGCTCCATTATATTTTAAGAATACATTTTGGAATAGTAAATTAATGGAAAATGTGTGATTAAAAAATAAGAAAAAAAATTTATTTGCATGTAATATTATTTTATTGAAAAATGTGTGGTTGAAAAGAAAATAGAAAAAAATGTATTTTAGAAATAATGGGGATCAAACAAAGGTTGGCTTTAGCTTGATCTAATATTAATATATTAGATCAACAAATTTTTTCTTTAATTTACTCAAATAGACGTTATGTTGCTATTTAGGGCATCTCCAATGCTTGTACTAAATTACCAAAATACACTAAATTTTGGTGCAAAACCTCTCCACTATGGCATCGAAGTTTGCACCAAATGGTGCAAAGTCAAATTTACCATTTTCTTCTATTTGCCGAACTAATTGTTGAAAGGTATTTGTGTCATTTGTGTTATATAATTTTAATACAATAATTTTTTATTATTATAATCCTTATATGATTAATAATAAAAAAAAATTTAATAATGTAAAAGCTAAATTTTTATATTTATTAATAAATTTAATATTTTCATTAGTTTAACGTAATTATTTATTTAGTAATTTATGCATTTGTAAAATAAATAAACAAATAATTTTTCAAATAAACAAATTATTAAGAATAAAAAAAGAAGAAAATGATTAAACATTATTCATTTAGTGTAAGTTTTGGTGTAATGATTGGATATGATTTTTGTTTGGTGTAAAATTGTGCAAAACTTACCTCAAATTTTGGAATAATAGATTGATGGAGAATGTGTGGTTAAAATAATATCAAATCAGTGTTTGAGATTGTATTTTTTTTTAAAAGAATCCGGCTCAAATAGGGCCATAGTTTTGACTAATAAGGAAAAATGCGTTGTCGAAAACAAATCTCGAAGGAGATTTTTGAAATTTTTGAAGAGTCATGCTTGACGTCGCCCTTGACATTCAGGGCTCACGTGGCCCTGGACCTGTAGAATACTTCATTTTTGAAGCGATACCCTTATATTTATTTAGAATAATGTTATTCGCAGTAGTTCACTACGGTAGTCGTCCTACGTACATATGATACATGCCCTACATGGTGAAAGCGACTTCAAATATCATTGCTCATTTGGTGAAGATCGCAATTAGTTAGGATTCCTCTTTAATTAGTTACCAATAGATAATCTAACTCGTTTATTAATCATAGTAATCTCCTCGGAAAAATACGCAGAACGAAACAATGTCGAGCTTTCATGATTCTTTTAAACCGTCCATATCAAAGTAAATAATGGTAGTTCATAAATTGTCAATTAATTTTTATTCTACATTTATTTTTATCTATTCATAATTTAAATTGATTTAAACCCTCGAAAACAAACCATGAGATCAACAATGTTCTTGAACAGAAGAGATAACCATACATCAACCGAAGGCCGAGAAGCCGCTAGGTGAACTCTATAATCACCAACTTGACTAGTCTTCGAGATGACCGAGTACGATGGACAAGAAAACATGTCATTTCTGCCTATAACTAGATATACTGTACATGGAAGAAGGAAAAACAACGTCTTCGAACATAATTTCACAATTATTCAATTTGAATGCTACATAAAAAGGGATGCTACACAAAGCTTAGGTAAATCTTTTGTTAGAAAATAAAGAGACATTAGATAGAAATATGGCTATTAAGTGCCACCATCTCCAGGACTAGGTTGGGATGAGAAACCCAGCCAAGAAAACCGCCAAAGATTAAAAAAAAAAAAAAAATGTAATAACAAGTCCATTGTCGAACAGCATCACCATATTGGCATCTCTCAATCTCTGCAGTAATATCGACAGTTTGATGTAGTAGGGCACACTTTCAAAAGTCATGTATCTCACTGATTAAAGAAACCTCAGATTGCTTCTCTTTCACAGGACTGGAGGAGGACAAAGAAACGTCAATTTAAATTTCTCCATCACTTGAACACGAAGCACACTTACCTCCATTCTACTAAAAATATTTCCCATCATCTTTTGTTTCTCCAGGATGTCACTATGCCGGGTTGGCTGAATTTAAAGCCACATCTGATGTATAAGGGGATGCTAATTATGATTCTGCATCAATAGTCAATGACGATGTAGGATATGCTACAGCTGAGTCGATAGGTTTTCTCTTCTTTTCATTCTTGCGCTGCTTATTTCTAGCTCGATCAGCTTTGGAGACTATTTCTGAAACGGTAAAGCCTGCAACTTCAAATTTGTGTGATCTCTGAGGAAGCAAAGCATTTCGAACGACAACATCAACTCCATCATAGGTCCAAACACCTAGTCGAGCCTCTCCCTTTAGTCCGATTGCAAACCAACCAAGACCAGCAACAGCAATATCAACACAACTTGAATCCCACCAGCTGCCACTAACACTAACTTCCTTTTTCACCCATTTCCCAAGCTCCTCAACTCGCCCTTCTCCAAGGGGAGGCTGCAAAAAGAACGTATAAAGAAGTATCAGTGGTGTCTGCATGACATTAATGAGCACCAATAAGAAAATTATCATGTTTCTCCCAGTGAGCACCAATAAGAAAATTAATGCCTGACATTCTAAAAAAGGTCGAGAACCAGGTACGGCATGCCCATAAAACATTTTTAGAGTTCATCTAACTACTATAGTCTTACATCAGTGAACATGTGCAAACTACTAAATGTCAGCCAACAGTCTTCAAACCCCTATTTAGAATATAAAACATAGAACTTTAACACATACACACACACACACACACACACAGAAACAGGGAGAGAGCATGCAGCAAGCACTCTACGCCTCAGAAATGCACAGCAGAATGGCTATTTTTAAAGCATTGTAAAAAGTTTTTGTTATCAAGAATAACAATGGAAATGTTTTTGATGTTGTAAATTCTAATGAATTTACAGCCCGCAAGGATATAGAACTATAAATTACTGGCTAAAGCAAAGTATACTTGTAATTGACGGCCAAAATGATCTTCCAACATCTTGCAAGCATTTTCTGTCTTCCCCATGTGCAGTGGAAGAAGAGCAGATGCCCATACTGTTACATAAATAGAATCTACGGATGATTCTTCAATATCCAGCCTCATCAGTCCCCCAATATGAACAGAATGCCCTGCCTTTGCGGATTAAACAATTGAAAATAATTACAAATTACTATTTAGATAAAAAGATAAAAAATAAAAATCAATCACTATCAAAATAGCATAATGTCCTCCACTTCAGGTATACTGCATACTGCTAATATTAAAATTCAAATCATATAAAAGTTTAATAACTGGGAAAACTAACTGACCCACTGTTATTGAACATCTGCATTGGTGAACATTATAGGCGAACATTACCATAATTCTTGTTCACCAAACCTAAACATAATAGCCCTCTAAAACATATCCCAGCAATAGCCTAAAGTTATTCAAAATTGTCTTTGACACGACGATTATATGACAGAAAGAGATGAAAACAATATTCTGGTCATCAAACAAAAGATCCCAGCAGAATAAGTTTCAATCCAAATCATGCCCCCATAGAAAGGATTTGGCCATAGCTACACCATTAAAGCTTCTTAACTAATTGACGTAAACCTTACAATGAGGAAAACATGCTTCCTTTTGGCATGCATCTTTTTTTAGCTAGAATGACAAGAAAAATGCAAATCAATCAATCTAAGTTTGCCTTGATATTATAATTTTATAGCACTAGAAGCACTAGAGGAGGAACTCAGAGGAGCAGAACATGCAAATAAACTTTCCCAATGAGAGAGCAGTTGCAATGTTTTCAGCTAAAAAATAGACACTTGGATGAATAGTTTTCCAATTTTCCCTTCATCTTTTCCCCCATAAAGTCCAATCTGCAGAGTCTGTATACAGTCACATACCCTCATAAGCTTTAAAGCTCCAGATAAGTATCTCTATCGTGAATCTAAATAAACAATAGTCAAAGTCATGGTTAAATAAAGGCTGAAACAAATGCAAACTTACGGATATATTTTAAGCTCTAACCATATCTAAGCCATTACTCAGCAACCTAAAGGAGAGACCAACAAAATTGGCAATTTTGCACAATAAAATTCATCAGTCACTACACTCATCATCTACAAGTTAAGAACGATGCAGTGCAATATGGTTAAATCAATCAATGACTAATATTAAGTTGCCTGCATTGAAACAATCAACAAGAATTTCAACAGACCTTGACCCTGTATGTTCTTGGCTTCAATTCTTTCCCTATATGAATTAGCTTCTGCTCCTCCCTGGTCAACCTAGTTGATATCTGATGTGGATGCAAAAGACCAGGAGTATCGAACAACTTGGCATTCCCAGGAAACACTCCCTCCATTCTCACAATCCCCAATGTGGTCCCTGGCACTGGCGCTTCTGTCAAATGAGTCAACTTCCTGCCAACACACTTTCCTATTGCGTTGAGCAACGTGCTCTTTCCGGCATTCTGTGCCCCTATTGCCCACACTTGCCCTCTTGGCCCTGCCAACCCGGCCACATCATCCACCAAGTTCTTCACTCCCCAGTCCCTCACTGCACTCACCAAATGCACACTAGTCAATTTCCCAGACCCACCCTCCCTTGCCCTTGCCCTAACCCAATGCTCTAGCCTAGTAGGTGATAAGGAGCTAGGCAAAAGGTCAATCTTTGTCACCACCAACACTACCCTAGGCAAATTCCCTGACTTACCCTCCTTCCATGATCGCGAGTTCTCATCAATAGTTCTCGAAACCAATTCAGCCACTTTCTTGGGAAAGGACCCATCGAAATCTACGGCATCCACCACCATCAAAACAACAGTCCTCGCCCCAGTTATCGAGATCAACCTCCGCCCAACAGTGTGATCAAAGTCAAAATCCGGTAACAAGATTTCCGCACCCGGCTCCTTCACCAGTCCATAGTGCCTCAAACTGTGACATCTCGCACACACAATTGGCTTTTCATTAACTTTTTCATCTGGGCTTCCAAGATTTTTGACAGTTTTCGAGTTTTCATCAAAAACTTCATCAGGAATGCCGGGGTTTTCAGGTTTTTCAATTTCTACTATCTCATTCAAAAGACCTCTTTTGAGTATATCTGGGATTTCAGACTCGTCAACAAAAGACCCTTTCTTACCGATTTTCTTGTCTCTATGGCTTTTGGGCAAGGGTTTAACGAAAAACCCAGGTTGCTTAGAGTCAGAGTCTTGCATATAGATACCACATCCAGGGCACACGGGGATGGTATCTGAAGCGGCCTCGTCGTAGTTTCCATCTCTGGACAGCGTTATATTGGTAAAAGACTGGTTTTTCAATTGTTGGGTAGAAAAATATCTAGTCAAAAACAACAGTGGTAGGGTTTTAGCAGGGTTTTGCAAGGAGGACGAGAAAGTGGGTGAGCCGACAAGGATTAAAGAAGGGTTGAAGTTATATACAGGCCTTCTGTATGTATAGGTAGAGAGAGAGGATGAACTGAGAAGCTTTCTGAGCTTTGATAGTGAGAGAGTTCTCACTATCATTTTCAATTGTTCTCTGAATCAGAAGTTAGATTTCTGCAGCTAAAGGAGGTTTTGCTTGTTTGTCTCTCCTCGGAAATGGGCTCTTACACTACAATTTGAACTAAAGTCGTGTGTTTACAAGTAAAATCGCTATGGGGAAAATTTACAACACTGGTTACCAATCTATTGCGGCAGTAGCACATTGGTCATCAGCCTTTAAAATGGAGCAAGTTAATCCTCAATATTCACCATTGTTGTACCATCATTATTGGCATGCCTAGCTCGTGAAATATACATCAATATTTAAGGGTGTAAGCAAAAATCATCAAATCAAATTGAAATTGTTAATTTATGTTCAAAAGTACCAATCAATTATTCCTTCTTCTTTGCAATTTAGTAATATTCAATCTTCTCGTCCAAATATAGCAGGTGCCTTTGTCCACTTAAAAGTAATCATTATCGTGCATAACAATTAATTATCTATCTGTTAACATGGAATAACCCTTTGAGATAAGAGAATTACATTTCACTAACCCAAAATTTTTGAATGTTCTTGTCCCTTGTAACAATTTTCCATCATACCATCATTACTGAAACCAAATAATCATTGTATTAGCAACATTCCTAAAATTTCTACATTATTGAACTAGAACATCAAAATAATCTTCCTACCACTTTTATCAAGGATTCATCTCCAAACGATCAATTTTAAGATATTACCGATTAAATAGTTTATTATAAACTAAAATCTTATTTATTATATCGTTCAATCTTAACATATGTTGCTTATGTTTATAAACATTCAAATCCCAAAGACCCACAAATACCATTCTCACACCCATCGCTCATTTCTATCAGTATATTAACAAAACATGCTTTTAGATATTAGACATTCATTAGGAGGCTTGTGAGCAATGGCAAGCCTTTACAATGCAAGAAAACAAATCAACATGGTATTTTCCAAGAACAGGACACCTTCCAATATAACTGCCAGCAATTTTAGCACAAACTACAACAGGGCAACAAACTACCAGACCTCCAACTACACAAGAACAATGGAAATTTCTACCGGTTTTTGTATCTGTAAATTCACAAAACGAAGAAAACGAGAAGGCAAAATTTGCTGACAGATGACTCATAAACTTTATAGCTGCAATACAGGTAACCACTAACCAGCATTGAATTGTCATAAGTGAATCTAGTGACAACTTTAAATTGTCAAAAAGGATTAAGCCACATCTGTTTTGTAATTCAGTTATTGATAAATTAAAAAAATTCTCCACCTACTACAAGAATGTATGGCAATGTATATTTAACAAAATCCCAGGAGCACGAAAAGATCGAGATTATCATTGTTCTTTCCAAATATGCATGACATTTTCAGCTGTTGTTTTCAATTTGTTGTACAGAACAAATTTTCCATAAATGACTTGCTAAACCAGATGAACAATTGCAAAACAGAATATCATTTCCAGAAAATGAATTGCACAGAATAAAGCAAAAGCATAAAGAAGTCCAGGATGATCGAGGCGAGAACTAGGCTCTCTGTCCTTAAGACGTTTTTACCCCGTCACACGGTGTTTATGGTATGTGGTAAAGCGTCTCCCAAAATACAACGATCAAATACTTGCAGAAGCAGCACTTCGACTGCAAGACAACGAAGCAGAACGAAAGTACTCTCTGTAGACTATTGCAGAGAAGAAGAGTATGTATGCAGAATGATTTCGTGATGTTTCTGTGTGTGTTTTAAAATTGAAAACCTGAGGACCATTCAAATAGAGGAGAGGGTTGACGGTTGAGCAGTTTCCATCCACCACTCACGCCCACTTAACGCACAGTTTTAGCAAACTGATGGGTCGTTTAATAAACTATCAAAGGGGGGGGGGGAATTTAAATTAATATTAACACAGGCCCATACCCACGACCCGACCGGCAGGTCGGACGGCGGCGCGCGCGCGACCTTTGGATTAGTCTAGACATTGTCTAAGACTCCCCCCTTTCAAAGACTATTGGTACCTCTTGGGGCCCAAACCCATATCCAAACTTGAAGTTTATTAAGTGGTTCAAGATTGTATTTGCAACCTATGTGGGATTGGAACATTTTTCCAATTCTTTCCCATTTATTCCTCTTATTTATTGTCCAACTTTCAACCATAATTTCTCATTCATATTGAAGTGATTTTTCACAATTAAATATTCTACACTCATCTACTCGGAACGTAGAATTTAATTGAACATTAATTTCGATACATTGAACATCGGGTCCCACTTAAAATTGTGGTCAAAGTTGACCCAATTGACCCACCATTTCAAACATCAGCTTCAGTTCCTGTTTATTACCTCCGGAGAAAAAGAGTGCCATGTTTCTTTGGATAATTTGCCCATCCAAACTATCTCTAACTGATATGTAACTATCACGAATGCTCCTTGGAACTCCGTACCATGTTAGCTTTCTGCCATTTCCACCAACTTCTAAGCTGTAATTGAACTTGTTTGCATCTTGATCATCACCCATGAAACGGATGAATGTCGTGTAAACAGGGGCTGTTCCAAGATTAAGAGCCTCAAAGGGCAGGCAGAATTGGAAGCCGAAACAGTTGAAAATCTGCACCTAGATAAGGAAAAAAAAAAGAAACGCTTATCGTGCCTTCCTTTTATTAAGATTTATTTGTAATGAAGAACATGTTTGGCTAAGCATAACCAACATGCTATAAATGGACACAACAACAATGATTTCCAATGGAAAAAGTTCACAATATAGTTTATTGTTGGAAAAATGAGTGAATTGGCTCACTTTTGGCACAATTTTCGGTGGGACCCGTTGATCCAATTTGGAATATCAAAGTTGATATGTGTTCTTCTCCGCGAGAACATCGAAGTCTTGTATTTATTTACCAAAAATGAAGCTCGGGTGAATGAGAAATTGGAGTCTAAAGTGGACCATTGGAAATGGTCTATGTTGATGGGAAAACTGTCCCACATAGGAAAAACATGGAAACCAAAACCACTTTATATATGGCTTTGAACAAACGAATCAAAACATTTGTACCACTGTCTAGGAGATTGTTTTAAACCATATAGAGAGCGTTTTAGAAAACACACATGATTAGGTTTTTGTTTGTTTTCAAAACCCTTAGGTTGATCCATAAAAATCTTTTCATCAAGTTCACCATGCAGAAAAGCAGTTTTAACATCAAGTTGTTCAAGTTCCCAATTAAAATGCGCAACTAATGCAAGCATAGTCCTAATTGTGGTATACTTAACAACTGGAGAAAAGATCTCATTATAATCTATCCCTTCCTTTTGTGTGTAACCTTTGGCCACAAGTCTAGCCTTAAACCTTAAATCCTCTCCTTTGGTAATTCCCTTCTTAACCTTAAAAACCCATTTGCACCCAACAATAGACTTGTCTTTAGGTCTTAGGACTAACTCCCATGTTTGATTTTTATCGAGGGAATTTATCTCTTCTTTCATCGCTTTCACCCAATTCTCAGACTGTTCACTCCTCAAGGCTTCTTCATACATGTTTGGTTCCCTATCAACTAGTTCTTCGTAACTAGTTTAAGCAAGCTCAAAATCAGAGTCTAATCTTTGAGGCACCCTATGTGTTCTCCTAACTCTGTCTCTAGCTAACTGGTAATCTGATAAAGGGTTTTGTTCTTCTTGATATTCCTCTACAATCTCATCTCTCTCAGTATTTTCATTCTAGCTGTCTTCTAATTTAGGATTTTGATGTTCCACCTCAATTGAGGTGGTGGGGGTTCTAACTGGAATGGTGTGATCATGTGTAGCTTAGAGGCTCTCTCCACGTTCGCGCGCAAAGGGAGTGCAAATCACGGACAGAAATAGCCTTCGGACCTTGAACTTGAATGCGGGCGCGATCTGCGCACACGAATGTCAGACCGAACGGAGCAAAAACTGGCCAGTTTGGATTGTCCGCATCTTTTATGGTTTTTCCAAATGACTTTTGAGTGTCTAAAACTCCAATGGTCGAAACCGAAGTGTGACTCCAAAAATTACAATGGTTAATGCAGAAAACTAATGGTCAGATTCAGTCTATATAATTCACTTCTTTTCCAGCAGTTCATACACAGAAATTTTCGTCTACAAATTTCCAGCCTGTTTTCTGTTTTGTTCCGTCTCATTCCAGTAAGCTGATATTGTTCGAACACTCGCCAAGTTCGTCGGAGTAGAATCGCGGTACTCGAATTCTACTGGTTACCATTGTGTCCTGGGAGACAGGCGTTCAAACTAAACCTCTAGCACCACGGTGAGGGGGCGAATTTGTCTCAAGGAAACTGTGTTTACACTGGCCTCGGGTTGAAATTATATCTGCTATTTATTTAGTTTGCAATTTTGCAGATTTATTTATTTAATTTGCAACATACTTAAAATTTATGTTAGAAATAGATAAATAAAATAAACTATTTTTCTAATTCGTTATATGTGTGAAAAATAGATTTCACATATACGGTATTTCTATTTATAAGAAAAAAAATTTGGTGTTATTTAGTTAGTTATGAATAAAAACACTTTATACAAAATTTTGTGCAAATACAGTGAGTTTCGCCTGTAAATATAGTAAGCTGTCATATATGGTGAGTTACACTATCAAATACGGTGAGTTGCAAATATGGTGAGTAGCAAATACAGTGAGTTGCACTGCCATATACGGTAAACAATTGTCAAATACGGTAAGTGTGAATCCGATATCTAAAACACAAATACGGTATATGAGAACCCGATTACACTTCAAATACTACCGATTAAATATAACAATATTTATCACATACAAAAAAGACATAAATGCCTTTGAACAGATTGAAGATCAGGAATTGAGAAGTAAAAAGATATCGTGGAAAGGTTTACAAATTTACTTATCATTTCATTTGCTAGTAATATTCTTTCAGTAAATTCTCAGAACTTTTTGCCAGAAAGAAACATAAATATGATTGAATATGTTTTGAAAACCATTCAACAATTCGATTTTGGATACTATTTTGGCTATGGTTTGTGAAGAAAATAAGATATTCACGTTGAAGGGCACACGTGACGTAAGGTTGTTAACTAGTAAACCAACCACTTTT